CTAGCAGCTCTCTTTTTCCCCCACTGCTCTCTTCTTCCTCCCCCTTGCCGTGTGAAATCAAATTTCCATGTGGCTCCCGTATCTGTTGCACAGCGAGGTGATTTATCAGGGATGCAAAGAGCATGCAGAAACAATCTTTATTACATCCATTTCCTGCTTGTCAGCCGGGATCATGTTGGCTGTTCATTAAAGGCGCGGCGCAGGTGAGGAGAATGCATCCCGATGCCTTGATAGATTGTCTGCTCCCCTGTGGTGACAGCAGCTGGATGGATTGAACAGCGGGGGGTGAGGAGGGAGGAAAAAAAGCGCTGACTCCGTCACTGCCCCTGTCAGACACACTTTTACATAGCCGGCCAGTGTCATTTCTACCAAACAGCCCCTCACACACATGCACACACAGACTTCTGACACTCTTTGGACTTTAGCCAGACTTAATGCATGGCTGCATACACACACACACACACACACACACACACACACACACACACACACACACACACACACACACACACACACACACACACACACACACACACACACACACACACACACACACACACACACACACACACACAGACACACAAGTATTTATAGACACTGATGAATAAATACAGAGACACATTGTAAAGATGAGATTCATCTTAATACACAGTTACCAACCTCAGCTCTCTCTGTTGAAATCACCAGCCTGGTAACCGCCCATGGGGATGAAATACATAACATTAAGTGCAACAGACTTTTTGCCAAATTTTAAAAAGAGAAGTTGCAAAATACTTTTATTAATTTAAATAACCAAAAATTACACCCATACAGGTAATTTGGTGTTGCTTGGCGACCACTTTGTTTAGCTACTTGTCAAGGACTTTGTTGCTTGGTGGTGAAAGATAATCATGATAATCACGCTCTTATTATTTTGTGCGAAGGAGCATCTCAACAGCAGCCGGCTGTGTGTTAAGTGGTTTGTGTGTAACACTTTTTTCAAATGTGCAGTGATTAGGGAAATGATGGCCTGTTTTGTTTACGCAGCAACGGGAAAATACAGTGTGCGCTCAGATACTGAGTACTATGATAGAAATCACTTAAGTATGAACTAACTCTGCACTGGTACGTGGCTAAGTTAACACATACACATGACTAGCATAGCAGTAGCATACCATACCAACTGCTTCAGTATTAGTCAGTTAAAGTTCTTTTGACCTATAACTTGGACATCTTTGATTTTAATACGATGACCACCAAAACCAGTTAAAAATGTACATTAAAGAACAAATTTAATTATCCTAATGGCCTTAGTGAGAATCGCAGGGTTTCTGTAGGACACTAAGTACAACTGTGATGTGCAGCATGTGAAGAGGGTACAATAAATGCTTTTCATGCTGTACAGACACACCTCATTAAGTCAATCAGCTGAGGCTGTAGAATATCAAAAATACAGCCCTACCTCTTACAGCAGCTACGTAAGCCTTCAGAATCAGCCATAAAACCTTTTATCACACCTCCTACATCAACAGATAAATACATACAGTATGACAACATAAATACAGCTCTGCGTCTATATTGGGCACACATTATTCCCTCAGTGGACTGCTTTTCAAGGTACAACTACAAAATCACACCATCTTCAACTTACTGTAATTGTTAAGACATAAGAAAGAAAAAGATGCATTGTCTACATACATGGGCTCAAAGTGGTGTTTATCTGTCTATATCCTACATACGATTGCGACGCTCTGCTAAGAACAGAGTAAGACACATTATTTAAAAGGACCATTTCCATGCTCTTTGCAAATCAGTGTGATATAAAAGTTCTGCATTACAGTAATCTTTGATCACTCAGCTCATTGAATTATCTTTGACACTGCTCAGTCTTCTTTGTATATATTACCCATCTTTTCTTTCTCTCTCTCTCTCTCTCTCTCTCCCTCCATCCATCTATCCTTCTACATCCCTTCACCAATCTAATTCACGTCCTGTGTCTCTCTGTGTACCAATGACATATAATGACAATGGCGTAAGCGCAGATCGATATTGGAGTGCTTTTGGGACGCCCGGCCAGGAGGGACGGAGGCCGGTGTTGAAAGCAGGGTGACAGGGACACTGTGGGGCTGTCATGGGACAAAGTGGGCGGAGGGCCATTTCGCTGATGAATCTATATCTTTAACCGACTCACTGGTCATAATCAGTGGACGACAGCCTAATGACTACTGTTTATGTTGATGTACACTGTATGTGAAAGTGGTCTGCAGGGTTCAGTATAGGGACATTTAAGAAATGATTCACTTTACATGAAATGTCAAATGAAGAGGTGCAGTATACAAACTAGACATCGGGCACAGTATGACTTCAGTGCAATTAAAAAAATAAGCTCTTTAATTCTTGCACTTTTTAAAAACGGTTTCAGCATGACAGGAAATATACTTAATGTAATATACTGCTTCATTAAATCAATCCAAATTAATGCAGATTGATCACAACTGAATGTCATTAACAAATTCTTGATGCACTACTTGAGAAACACAATGAAAGAGAGATGTTAATGGCTTTATTTCTCTGAATAAAATTGACTGTCTTCTCAAAATAAAAATGTAAAGGCACGCCTGTAGAAAGGGAAGTAGACAATCTAGACATGATTGCCTGTCTGTAATTTAAGGATTGGTTTACTCATGGAGATACTTTTGTACCACTAGGGGTTTGTTGAGACACATGGTCAGAAGTGGTTCTAAATGTACACACACCCTCAAGCACAAGAACAAATTAATAAATATGATTATACACATAGAAATGATATATATATATATATATATATATATATATATATATATATATATATATGTATATATATATGTATATATATATGTTTTCTGAAGTAACGTCCTCCTTCATTACAAAACCATTGATGAAACATGCTTGTTGAAAACACGGGTATTGGTTTAATTCAAAATCCATCTAGAACAAGCAGTGACATTGGCCACCAGGCAACCAATCGTACGCCTGGCTGTCAAAACTCATCTCATTGGCAAAGGCGAAACCATTGGACTTGACTTGGACTCTTTGGAGTCCTGATTCTGTCCTGACTAGTCCTGGTCTTGACAAAGGTGGTCTCATGCTGATGTCCATGTAGTACAGTAATAAACAAATCTAATGCAAATATATCAAATGGTGTAACTGTGAGAGAATAGTCAGATGCAAACCCAAACACAAGAATACAAATTGAAGGTGGCACAGTGAACGTGATTCAATGCTTGGAGAGGACCGGCCTCAGATGCCAATTACATTACCTCTCTAAAACAGAGGGATTCGATTGAAGGATGGAGATAGAGAAGGAGGGGGGAGGGGGTGGCGGGGGCGCTTTCACTCAAAGAAAAATAATTTATTTCATTGTGATATTAAAATCAATAGGCATCGATTGAAAGGTGGCTAAAGGTGAGCGTGTACATGATCCTTCAGATGTGAGAGGCAGACTGTCCGAGAGGGAAGGAGGGAGGGAGAGACGGAAAAAGAGAGGGAGGGGAAAGAAAAAAAAAAAAGAAGGGTGGCCAGAGGAAGAAGTCACCTCCTAGTTAACAAAGAGGGAACAGGGAAAAAGAACAGGAAAAGACCAAGAAAATGAGAGAAAGAGAAAGAGATGGAGAGAGAAAGAGAAAGAGTGAGGGAGTTCTTGCCCGGTGGAATCAATACAAAGAGGTGGAGCAGAGTACAATAGCCTCAGAGGAGAGGAGATTCAGTGGTGCAAGTCTAATACTCTGTCTCATACACACACACACACACACACACACACACACACACACACACACACACACACACACACACACACACACACACACACACACAAATACATTAAAACACACACACACATTCGCCCCCTCTCTGAATCCTTTTTGCTCTTGCTTTCTCCTGACATTTCCCTCTATATCCTTCCTCTATTTAATTTCTTTCTCTTTCTCTCTCGCTTGCTTGCTCATTCTGTATCCACCCTGCACCACCAATACACCCCCCCCCCACACACACACACACACACACTGAGTAGTTGTCTGTATGCAAAGGGATGCAGAGCAAAGAGAGGGTCTACTGTCCAAAGCAGTATAATAGCAGCATCTTTCATCAAAAACAGACAACATACAAATGAGCATGGATGCAAGTGGACAAAAAACACACATCGATACACACACAAACAAACGTGCCATTTCTCCAAATAATGACACTTTTATAGGACATTTTCTCCAAGTCCACCTTCACACACATACCACAGAGTCAAAGCCACTTGGATCATGCAAAAAGAGTGTCTCATGAACACTTTTAACAGACAAATACAAAACAGCACACTCCAACACTACTCCAGCTCTATCAGCACTTGAGACTAGTGAGGCTTCAATTAGTTCTTGATGAATGAGCCCATAAGATGCCACTCTCTCATTTCCCTTGTTGCCAGATATCCCAGCAATCAGAGAGAAATGAATTCTCATTGTGGCGTGACTGAGACGAAGATGACGGTGGTGGTAGTGTTGGTGGAGGGGGAGCAGGGCACTAACATAAATCATTCACCCTCTCCACTGAGGGCCAGAGTTCAGCTTCATCACACCGAACCTGACAAGTCTAGAGCAGTCTAAAATCTTTTTGGATGTTGCAAACTATTTGACAAAAGGAAAATTGCATAACACCATTTTCTGATAAAAATACATTTTTAGAAAATCAATTTTCATATTTTTTCTTAACATTTTATCCGTCTGCTCTTGGTTTTATTGTATTAAGCCAAACATTTTCAAATGTTAAATTGAAAATACCAGCTAGCTTACACTCAAAGAACCCAAGCATGAATCATGTTACAAAGTAAGTTAACATGTTACTTGCAATATATGCCCCAATGTTTTTATTTTAGCTAACAGAAAACCCATATTTGTACAATCTACAGTATTTAACAGGCAATATGTACCGTCAGTGTACCATTCATTGAAAATAAGCGTATGTGTGAGCGTGTGTGCTGCAGTGAAGGTTAGACTCACCATCATCAATGATGCTGACCACTACTCCATTACCGGTGATGTTGTTGCTCCAAACCGGCATCACATTCAGGTCAAACCCACTGGAGTTGTACTCGCCCTGTGCAAACTAAACACACACATACATGCATAACATTACTATCTCTGCTTGAAAAGGACTACTGCAATGAGGATTAATGTTCAACATAAACCCAAATGCATCTCTCAGTGGTTCTAAAATTCTATATTCTGTCAGCAGTGACACAAACACAGTTGCCTGAGAATTTTCGTTGGACATTGTTTAATCTTTTTGAACTTGCACCGGTTGTTACACCTGTTTGGAAAAGCGGAGGTTGTATTTATGCAGATCAGATGGTGCAGTGCAATTTTGGCATGAAACTGCAGTTGTGTTTCCGCCTGTTTGTCGCTTTCATGCATTTGTCTGCATCACCATCCTCTTCTCCCTTTATTTTTCAGCTTGCTCTCTGTAGTGTGTGTGTGCCATGTATTTCTAACATCTCCTTTGTTCCATTTCTGCCATTGTTCACCTGTCCTTTCGATGGAACTGCAGTTTCTTGCCCCTGCTTACCACCTGACCCAATCACCTGCCTGCCACCTGCAAATATTGATTTCTTCCTATTTTATTATTATATTCATCCTCTTCTCCACATTACACGATACATACACATAGGAGAACGGTGGAAATTGTGTGCTTGAATCCTGAATTTGCAATAGCTGTTGCATTAATTTACACTTTGCATTACATTACACTGCATTGTATTACATTACTTTACACTTACACTAAGATGCGTTATTGCAGTGTGCCACATCTGGATGAATACAGCCTTAGCTGTGCCAATGGTAAAAAAGAATATTGATAAGATCTGTTAAATTATTCTGCTTTCTGCACTTGAAAATTGGAAAATTATGGAAATGTAGTGAACATTTTTCTCCCTCTCCTCAAAATGATCAAATGTGTTTACACTTTAGCTGTGTTGATTATGACAGCACTTGTTGCCCCAAGTACACTTTTATCCAGGAGGCAATTCTAGTAATTTGGGAGAGCACCTGTTAAACTACTGAACATCATAACTTTACAGTTATCCACAGACTGCTGTGTTCCAAGTCATCTACTGCACCTCCTACAGTCTCTTCCTATCCTACAGGGAACCTTCAGTAGGGCATTAACATTGCTGCTGTTGCTGCCAAAGAGATAATATTTTCTCAATATAATTACAAAACAGACCTGTTTCTACTCATGGCAAATCCCTTTGTTTCATTTATGTTTAGTGTAATAAAAACAGCTCCTGATAGAATTGTTTAAGAATTAAAAAGTACTATAAGCAGTGTCGTTCAATGTATAGTGTTAAATGTTGTTTTCTCATGGTCTACATACAGCACTGTATGGAATATACTCTTTATCATCTGTGCTATATGTGCATCAATGAAAGCTGTTGGGTTGTGTGTTTATGTGAGATAATGTGTGCACGTCCTTGTGTACAAGAACACCATCTGTGTGGGTTCAGAGTGCCCATAAGGACCCCAGAGAGTTCATGAGAAAGTCACAGAGACAGATCTTTCATCCTTGCACCTCAAACCACAAATCCACCCACGTATAAACAAACAGACCCACACAAATATGCACACAAGTCCACAGCAACAACCCCAGCATGGTGAGGCAGAAGAGCCCCACAAAGTACATACATTCACTTGAAAACACTAACACCTTCATAGAAATATAACATAAACATATGCTTACAGGCACACAAACTAAACACTTCAAAACAACACAATAGGTGCGCACATAAACACACACCCAAAAAGGTAGCTACTAAAAATGTCAGCAGCTGTCCAAAACTCCTCTGCCCACATACACACACACAACCAATTTCATATTCAAAGTGAGTGTTTCAAGAGGCGTCAACTCTGTTGTTGTTATCATGAAGAAGAGAGAGCACAATGGGAAAAAAACGTCTCAGTAGGGGGTAGGGTGTGTGTTTGTGTATATAGGTGTGTGCATGTGTGTGCACCTGCATACCTATCAAACAGTGGACCTCAGAGTTATTCCACATTCAATAACAGTGGATCTGCGAGCCAACAGCAGGCATTTTGGTTTTTATTTTAATTTTAGACAAGAGGGGACTTGCAGGTGTTCGTACTCAACACTGCCCCTGCAGGCTGGAGCAGTGATTTTATTTGCCTATTTTGCTTAACTTTTTCTTTGAAAAGCGCTGTATAAATAAAATGTATTATTATTATATAAAGTTTATTAATAATGACTCACTTACACAAGTTGTTTTTCACACTCCTCCATAGTGTGGATGGCTAGCAGCCTTTCAGTCTATAGGGGTGCTATTTACCAGGCTACATACTAAAGGAACCAGTCTCCTTAAACATGATTAGTATTTTTGTAACAAAATATAAGCTTCACACTGTATTACAATAAAGGGCTACCCAACAGGCAGAGGATATATGTATTTTAAAATCTCACCTTATCTAGTGGTAAGGAAATTTCTTTTTCATT